CCGGGCGGATGTCGGCGCGTCGATCTCTCAAGACGGTCTCCTCCGTGCCCACCCTGCGAGTTCACGATCGTCCGATTGGTCCTCAAGTCCATGGCGCAGCCGATGGCTTCGAGAGGCCTGGCTGGCAGCAGCGGCGGGCACCTCGCCTCCAGGATCAGAAATTCCACAAGCCCGCGGCCTGCGATGGACACTGGGGCCCACGCCTTGCCCACCGGCTGGGCCTTCCCGCCGGCGCCGGAGGCCGCGGTGCCGGGGAGCTCGCAGTGCTCGACATGCACCGCGTGGCCGCGCCTAGCGAAAGACTCGACTAGAATGCGAAGATCCTCGCGGCCAATCAGCGCCTGACCCGCCGCGGTGTCCACGAGCGCCGACCCCCCCGCGTTCTGCGACGTCGGCATCTGCTCGGAGACCTCAGACTTCTCAACGAGCCCAGTCCACTCGGCCACCGTCCGCGACAAGATCCGCTGCTCGCTGGTCTCGAGGCTACGAAGGTCATCGGCACCTGGTACCCGTCGCTCGTCTCGTCGCTCTGGAAAAAATAAGACGACTTCCCGCCGCCCTGGCCCGTGTCGCGCTTCTCCTCTGCCAACATGTCGGACTTGGCCTTGTGCGGTTTCTTGCAGGTCTCTGCCCAGTGGCCGCGTTTCCCGCAGTTGGCGCATCTCGATCTCTCGCGCAAGTCTGCGCCCTGGATGCGTTTGAAGCCGCTCTTCGTCGCCCGGCGCCTGTCAAATAAATCGCGATCAATTTTCTGGTTTGCATTCATGCGCCGAGCCTCTTGCCGCGTCCGTTTCCGCTCACGTCCCGGTGACTGCTGTCGGCACTGCCATAAGATCCGCCTCGTCGAGGTCCTGCTCATCCAATGCTGCGAGGAAAGCGTCCGCGCCAGGCCCGTGAAGTAGCTGTCCACGTCCACGAACGGCTCAGACGGCGACGGAGCCTCTGCTACCTCGGCCTGTAATGTCTTGCCCGATTGCCCGGATGAAGCTGACGTCGTCGGCGGCAATGCCTTGTCGCGGATGTCAAGCGTGAGAAGCGCCTGTCTAACCGAGGCAGCGTCCGACCTACCACCGGCTAGGGTCTTCATGTTGATGCGAGTATGTGGCGTAAGCTGAGCGCCTTCCTCTAAGTAGCGAGCCGACACTGAATCCGGCAACTCCAGTCCGTATCTCTCGGCCTCTGCCGTTTCAAGATCACGTCGTAATACAAAGTCCGTAATGACCTCGTTCTTTCGTATGGCGTCGTTAGAGAGAGCTGAGTTGTGCGCATCCCGTTCCTTATCTCCTGGTCTTTCTCCGTTCAGAACCGACAAATGTTCGAGCAGCCGAGCTATTCCGTCATCATCATCCAGGAGCGGTCGGATGGAGAGAAACCAATGCTGAACGTCCACCGGCAAGCTCTCGAGCACCTTGCCCGCACGCTGGTGCGACTTGTAACCCGTCCTGGCCGCCCAGGCGTGCAAGTTCAGCTTATAGAGGTTGAGATTCTCATATCCCAGCCACGTGGGCGGTGCTCCATAATCTCGGGATTGCGATCCAAAGCCCCATCCTGTGTCGTCTCTTGAGCTCCATCCCGACTGCCACTGCTTCACGTCTTCGCCCCAGTCCTGCCAGCCGCGCTCGTGCCAGCCAGGACCAGAGCTCCACTCCCAATTCTTCCACCACTCGTCTCGGGAGTGCCACTGTTGGTCACCCTGGTGCTGCTGGTTGGACTCCGTCGTAGACTGCTGCGACTGCCCCTGAGCACCTGATACCTCCTGGTCGGTCTGAATCCCGGCCGTCGTCATCCCTCCGTACTGTGCGTGCGTGTGAGCGCCACCCGCCTGTTCTCCAACCTCGCTCCGCTCACCATTGTCATTGCCATCCGACGGCATGTATCTGGGAGGAGGCCAGGAAAGAGGAGGCACGTTTCTCACATAGCACCTCGGAGACCAAACGAACGAGCTCTGGTCTCATCTAAGTCTAAAAGGCTGTGGCGGGAACAAGCACGGAAGGAGCGGGGAAAGGGGGAAAGGAGCACGACCCCGAGAGCCCCGAGAGACCCCTAGACATGGCTAGGGGGGGCAACTAGGCCTCCAAGATGGCCCCATGACGGCCCAAGAGGCCCCCAAGACGGCCCCAAGACGGCCCAAGAGGCCTCCAAGACGCCCAAGATAGCCTCCAAGACGGCTAAGATGGCCGATGGCCCCAGGATGCCTCCCAAACGGCCCAAGATTCACCCAAGATGGCCTGAGATGGCCTCCAGATGGCCGAAGACGGCCCAAGAGGCCCCCAAGAGGCCTCCAAGACGGCCCAAGAGGCCTCAAAGAGGTCCTCCAGGAGGGCCCGAAGAGGCCAACATCATGGATTTTCCTGAAGGTATTTGAAGGATTTTAGCATTTGCTTCTTATCGGCCTTCCGACGGCTCAAGACAGCCCAAGAGGCCCACAAGATCACCCACGAGGCCTCCAATATGGCCCCATGACGGCCCAAGAGGCCCCCAAGACGGCCCCAAGAGGGCCCAAGTGGCCTCCAAGACGGCCAAAATGGCCTCCAAGACGGCTAAGATGGCTCCAAAATGTCTCCAAGACGGCCCAAGACGCACCCAAGACGGCCGAAGATGGCCTCCAGATGGCCGAAGACGGCCCAAGAGGCCCCCAAGAGGCCTCCAAGAAGGCCCAAAAGGCATCAAAGAGGCGTCCAGGAGGTCTTCCAGGAGGGCACGAAGAGGCCAAAATCATTGGTGTTCCGAAGGTCCTTGAAAGAGTTTGGTATTTGCTTCTTCTCGGCATTCCGACGGCTCAAGACGGCGCAAGAGGCCCCAAAGATCGCCCAAGAGGCCTCCAAGATAACCCCATGACGGCCCAACAGGTCCCCAATACGGCCCCAAGAGGGCCCCAACACGGCCCAAGAGGCCTCCAAGACGCCCAAGATGGCCTCTAAGAACCCCTGATACCCCAAGAGTGCCCCAAGACGACCCAGACAGGCCCCCAAGACGGCTTCCGACGGCGTCAGGCAAACCAAGAACTCCCTAAGACGGCCAAAGCGGCCCCCAAGAAGCCCCCCAAAGCCCCCCCGAACCCTTCAAGAGGCCCCCAGGAAGCTTCCAGGAGGCCCCAAGAGTGGCCCAAAAGGCGCCCAAGAGGCCTCCTCCTCCTCCTCCTCCTCCTCTTTTTTCCTCATCCTCCCCCTCCTCCTCCTCTTGCTCCCCCATGCGTTCCTCGAAGTCTTTCCAAACCGACTCGGGGCCCAGCTAGCGTGGCCAAGCTCTGGCCCAGCTGTCGGCCACAGAGGCGCTTCCAAAAAGGCAGGGGGCGGCGGTGATTCGCCGTAGGCGTCTTCGATATATACAAGCATAGGTCACGCAGCACCCAGAAGCCGCAACAGCGACTCTCCCCCAAGGGGTCGGCGGTGCGGCGTAAGCCAACGAATCTGCAGTTCTTGGTGCGAATGGTGGAATCATATGGTTTTTTCTATTTCAACAAGTGCGCACGGGCAGGGAACCTGCAACATTTGTGTTGACGAGCCTGCTGTTCTTTGATGCGTTCATGTTGAAGCGCTTGCGAACTCTTGGAACACGATTATTTGAAATGGGCGAGTTTGCGCCCATTGTATCACTAGGCAGGGATGCGGGATGGACACTGCTGGCTGGGCTGACACGATTTGGTATTTAAGATGGGCGATCACCCGGAAGACATATGAGAAGATAATGCCCCAACGGGCCCCGATGACCCCAAGGGAGGGGTTGTGGAGTCTTCCTTTTGAACCAGAACTTTTTAACATTATAAACCATGAACCCCACTGCTCGCGCAAACGCCTGACTCTCCCCCCCCGCACTTTGTTTTGCAACACCCATGCCGCAGCGATTGCGGTGACTACTTGGCGCTGGCTGGCACGTCCCTGCGGCTGCGCAAAATGGCGGCCCTGAGGGCCCAGAGGGACGAAAGGGTCCGCAAGATGGCCCAGGCGGCCCAAAGACGGCCACAAAATAACCCCCGAAACCACGCCAGAACTTCGGTCGGGTATTCCGTGAGCAAGGGGAAACGACTGAACAACGTCCAACGGCAAACAACGCTCGGGGAAAATGTTTGGCAGAAACCAATGAAATCATTCGCTCTCTACAGTATTGCTTGTACTGATTTCAGACCAACATAGTCTACGAATTCGGATGTTCTTCCATTCCCCATTCCGATGCCTGGTACACCAACGCATCTGACATCTGGTCCGGCACCAGGATGACGTCGGCCTTCTTCACTGTGTTGTCAGCGCTGTCAAGGTAAAAGTTGCTGACCATGTAAGGCAGATTGCGCTCTTGATCCTCGTTGAATGTCAGGAGGCCACCTGCCAGGCATTCACCGTAGCTGGTATCGCCCACCATCTCTTGCAGCGTCTCTTCCAGCAGCGAGCTCGTCACCGTTTCTCTGGTGAACTTTCCATTAGTGATGCCCTTGTGCATGGCAGCACTGAACATCACAATGCTGTCGTAACCAAACTGTGTGTAGGTCTTGCACTTCGCGAAATTGTTCTGCGCTGTGACGGATGTGTTCTCGACATACCTGAATACATCGCCGTCGTTCTCGCCCCAAGTGGAACCCTTCGGCATATCCCAACACGACTCGTTCTGTGAGGACCCGCAAATGTTTTCGCCAAGCTTGTACTCGAAACCGCCGGCTCGAATTTCGCCGCTGTCCCAAGCCTCCTCGAAGAGCGGCGTGCGGTCGGAATCGGGCATCCAACTGACCGAGAACGTGCCCAGTGCTTCACGTGGGTCGCCGATGTTGCCGTCGTCCGGGTGGAACCATACGTAATTGTGCTCCTTCTTTCGCAGACCCATGCTCTCGGCCTGCCTCAGCACCTCCGGCAACTCTGACTGGAAAGCGCACAACATGATGACTCGGGGCATAGAAGGATCCTCGTGGATTTCCGTGAGCGCCTCCTGGATGCGCTGAATGGCATTCTCATCTGGCGGGCTGCCACTGGTACCGTCCGTCGTGGGCACCTCCTTGGAGACGACAGTCATATTCAGAGAAGTAGCCGTGCTCGCGAAGGAGCTGCACATGCTGCGCGTGTAGTCTTCGCTGAAGTCCGCCGACCCCCCCTTGCCGGTGGGAGGGCGTGGGAGATGGCCTGCTGTCCCCCTTCCCCTCTCCCCCTTCACGAGAGTCCCCAGGGTAAAGGAGGGGGGGCGGGAGCCTCTCCCAAGCCCTCCGAGCCTCCAAATGCACTCTCGGACGCCTCCAATATGCCCAAGATGCTTTGCAAGACGGCTCCATGAGGGCTCCTCTGCACAGCAAAGAATCCCAAAGACGGTTCCAAGTGGCCACTGAGCCTGCCAAGGATACCCCCCAAAAGGTCAAAACCATGTACCAAACTAGTGTGGTTCAATGATTGTGTTCTCACCTTTTCGCTTCCACCGGGCCTCTGAGGCCTCACAGTGACTCCAAGATCTGCTAAGAGAGCTCTGCGAGGGGGCCTGACACGATCCGAGAGAGCCCAGCAGCCCCCAGGAGCGCCTCGAGAGTTCCAAAACTGCACTATATGAATGCTTGGGCTCCACGCGGGGGACTCTTGTTGAGGACTAACTGGTTTTGGACCGATGGCCTCCAGAATGGCTCCAAGGGGGCCCACACGGCCCCACACACGATGCTCAGCAGCACGATGCCGATGCCGTGGCTCCCGTGGGACAAAGACATGCCAAGGAAAGCCGCCGCGCGGAGGCACCGACAGTTTATCACGGAAGCACGAGATCACTAGATCGAAGATCGAACAGTGCGGGAAGGCCATGCGGCCCGCTGGCACTAGTTGAGCCGAACGCGCCACCAAGGATCAACATGATCGAGAGGGGGAGGCGAGGGGAGGCAAGGAGAGGCATACCAGGGGTGTCCAAGAGGGGAGAGGGTAGCAAAGCATGGCGCGAGGCATGTGCGCGATCGAGGGGGGGCCAGGGGACATGCTGCAAGAAGGAGAGGGGGCCTGCGTAAATCTGGGGAGACTTCATCGCCCCAGCCATGATATCCACCTCCCATAATCATCACCCCCCTCTTGACCGTCCCCGAGGCACAAGCCGGGCATGCGCGACCAACCTTGCCACCGGGACCACCCACCACTACCTTCAGACATGGGCGGAAGGCGGATGACGACGGGGTTGACGTCGTCATGCCAAGGGCCCGAACAGCCATATTATCCAAGGTGGCTCCAGCAAGCCCGCAATGGTCCTCAAAAAGGGTTAAGTTCAGCATGTTTCGCCTTGTGCCCCAATCAGGCTTGCCGAGGGTTTCTTACTTATCCCCACATAGGCTTTGCCCAAGGAGTTTTTAGGTGTTCCCCAAATCCTTTGGTGTTGGGTCGTCGTTTTGAAGAGACAGTCTCCTCCTCCTCCTCCGCCTCCTCCTCGTCCTCGTCCTCCTCCCTTTTCTCCTTCCTCCCATCCCTGCCTCTGCCATCCGCATGTCCACTTCGGTACACACATCGCACGCTTCGTGGCCCCATGGGGAAATCGATCGAAGCCCCCCAGGACGGCCACATGCTGTCCCCCCACCTCATTTCGGCACACCGTCACACGTTTCGTAGCCCCGCAAGGAGCTCCACCGCAACCCCAAGGGGAGGCCGCCACATGCGGTCCCCCAGAATATTTCGGCTAACCATTCGCACGCTTCGCGTCGCGGCCACGTAATGGGGGCCCATCGAAGCTTCCAGGGGGGGAGGCGCATTCCGTACCCTAGACCATTGTGGCACACCGGTCACACGTAGTTTTTTGGTGGCCTCCTGACAAGCTCCACCGAAGGATCCAGCGGCTTGGTATCACGGGCAGTCCCTCCAACCATTTTCGGTACACTTGTCACACGTCCCGTGGCCCCGCAAGGAGTTTCCCCGAAGGCCTGAATGAAAGGGCATCGCATGCGATCCCACCGCAAATTTAGGAACACTCCTCACGCGTCTATGCTGCACTACTCGCAGCTGGTTTGGGCTATTGGGTCTTTCGTCATGCCAATGTTTGAAGAACTGGTGGGTGCCAGGTCTGGCTGGCCAGCGTTTCCTACAACTGCCAAGCAATTATATGTTTTTGTTGTGCTTTTCTTTTTCTTCCGGATTGCCCGTTTGCACGGCTGCCAAGCTGCCTGGCTGCCCAATTGCCCAGGTTGCCTGGTCGTCCTGCTGCCCGGCTTGCCCGTTCGTCCACTTGCCAAGCAACGCATTGCAAAACAATGGAAAACAACACAAAGCGAAGCACAGCAACGACGCAAAGCATCGTCAACCAACGCAAAACACATAAGTCTCCTTCGCGGCGACGCTCGACCGCGATGCCTTCCGAGAGAGGAGGATGGCACCCAATCAACGTTGGGTGAGGCCGCGGCCGTGCGCCTCCAGCTGATGCGCCAGCCCGCCGCGTCAAACGACACTGGCGGCTGGCGCGCCACGGCGAAGGCCGTAGCACATGGGTGCCATGCCCGCCCTCGAGGGTGGTGGGTGGGAGAAAACGAGCAGCGACCGCGGTCGCGTCCGGCGCGCTCCGGCGAACGGGCGCGCCGCGCGTCGCCCCAGGGGCGGTCCAAAGCGGCGCTCTCGCAGGCAGAAGACAACGCCCTGGCCAGCCGCCCCGCCTCATAATGCGCACTCGGCAGGTAGGGCGCTGCAGACGTGGCCCGGCGCTTGATATCCCGCCCCGCGGCCGGGCGGCAGAAAGGAATCTTTTCGACCGTGCGCGGAGGGGCAGAGGGGAAAAGGACGCCGACGCACGGCCGCGCGGCGCGCCAGCATGCCCGCGCGGGAGCCTGGTCCGCCCGACGGAGCGCCGGCCCGCGGCGGGTTGTCACGCAGCCGCCCGCCATCGCGCGGGGCGCCGACGGCGGGGCACTCCCGCCTGGGGGCGTCGACTTATGACCTGCAATGACAAGTTATTGCCGCCCCGTAAGTCTCCTTCGCGGCGACGTTCGACCGCGATGCCACCAGAGAGAGGAGGGCGGCGCCCAGTCAGCGTTGGGTGAGACCGCGGCCGCGCGCCTCCAGCTGTTACGCCAGCCCGCCGCGTTCAACGACACTGGCGGCTGGCGCGCCAAGGCGAAGGCCGAATCACGTGGGTGCCGTGCCCACTGCCGCGGACCCAGGGGCTGAGAAGCGGCCGCAGACCCGCGGCCCGCGAGAGAGCGACCGACGGGCCAGTCGAGAGTGAGCGAGCGTGCGATGGGCCAGGCGCAACCGCATTATCACCAACTGTGCGCGTATTAGCGTCGCAGGGCGCCGCGGGGGTTCGCCCCCCCGCGTTCGTCGTCACTGGGCGACGCGCCGAAGTGCGCTTCGGCGACGGCTTGGCGCTCCATCTTTTCGACGTCTAGGTAACGCATCCAAGCTGACATCTACCACTCACCCGCATTCAGGATGTCGGCAACTCGACCGCCGAACTCCACGATACCTTGCGCGTGGCCCCGTCGAAACGAGCGGGTGCCATAGGCGTCTGCGTCGCCTACTTTCGCGTGGCGCAGTGCTCCGTGCAACGCGCTGCGCGCGCCCATGGCGCATCAGCCAGCCCACGGGGCGTCGCCTTCAGGGGGTTCAGGACGAGAATTAAACCAAGTGCCGGGGGCGTGCACGGGGCGCGTGGCGCGTGAACGCTTGCACCAGCACTTGCGCAAAATCGTTGTCCGTCTTTCACGATTTTTACGTCTTGAGAGAGGTGGGGCGGCGGCCTCGTCAGTGAATAGGCCAGCGCGCAACTGCGACGCGCCGTTAAGCGAAGCTGCACGCTGGATGGCCAGCGCCTCTGACGGGAGGCGAAGGAGAAACGCGCGCGCGGTCGCGAAAAGGAGGCCCAGACCGCCCGTTACAGGTAACGCACCTAGGCGTTCCAGTAACTGTACTAGCAGTGGCATGCGGGCCGCCAGTAACTGTACTAACAATACCATGCGGACCAACCCGACCGCTTCTCGATGGCCAGCTTGGCGCCCTCCAACGACGCGTGCGTGAGCGCCTCGTCTGCCGCTCGCGCGACGTGGCAAGCTTTCTTCACATGCGAGAGGTAATTGCAAAACGCCGAGCGACACCTGAACGTCGTTGACCAGGGCACGAGACCGTCGACCGACGGCGGGAGCTCGCTGCCATTGCGCTGCAAAACGTCGCGCGCGAACTTCACCCAGCACTCGAAGCCGCTGCGTACTTGCGGCAGCGACCGTGGGCACGGCCCGAACAGGGCGCTGTTTCGGGCTACCTGGGCCAACGCCCGCCCCGCCTCGGGCGACTTGACGGCGTCGGCCGCTCTCGCGATCTCGCAGCGCGGATCGCCCGTCCGACGCTCGAAACCTTCCATCGCCGCGCGCGTCGCTCGGCGTGCCGCTGTCACGGAATCCGCCGCCGAGCTGCGGTAGCGCCGCCGACGGGCCCTCCGCCCCGCGGGCGGCGGGCCTGGCGGCGGCGCCAGCCTCGGGAATCCCTGCGCGCGCGGCCACGACGCTGGGGCGCCGCATGACCTGCCGAAAGGAGAAGCGCGGTCTGCGACGGATGCGCGGGGCGCCCCTATCCTCATGCTCGATGAGACGGATGGCGATGAGGCCGAGCTTGCAGAGCTTGCCCGCAACGGGCGTGCCCGCGCCGCCTTGCCGCCGGTTGGCACGGCGTCCACAATGCGCCCTTGCGATGCAGAGCGGCGCGCGCGCGCGCGACCCGCGCGCCCGCAGTGCTTGCCGCCGAGCGGCCGCGCAAGCAGCTCTCTCATGGCTGCCGCTGCGGCGTCAGAGAATCAATCGCCACCCAGAAAATCATCGAACTGAGCGCCCTCGAGGTGCTGCAGCGTCTCCATCCCGTTTGACCACAGGCAAGAGCAGATCGCGTCGATGTCCACGCGCGGCACATTGCGCAGAACACTGCTCAACTGAGCATCGAACTCTTCGCGAGACATAATGAAGCAACAACTTGCTAGCTTGACACTTACGAGATGCGCCCTCGCCGAGTCTCGCGCGTCAGCCGATGGCGCGCGCCGCGAGCTAGGCGGGCGCGGGCCCCCGTCGCGACCGCCTCGCAGCAGAACGCGCGTTGCGAGCGCTGGCTCGCCTTGGCGGGATGATCATCGACTTCCACGATGCGGGCG